TCTGAATTGCGACTCTGTGCATTTCCAACTGATGATTATCTAGGCCGCATGGACTCGCAAGACAGCAAGCTGCTTTGTCAATAAGCCACCAATTTATAACGACCCGCATTGCCTCCATTCAGCTGAAAATAATCGGCATACACGCAAGGGGCGTGCAGGTTCAGCTCATCGTTTTATTTGCTTACCATGAATACTTAAGTATCTTGCTCTGTTCCATGCGGCAGCCTATATGCTGCCAAGCTACGAACCGGAAGTAGCCGCCAGGAACAGACTTGCTTACAGGTAACGGTAGTGCACCTCTCTATCGTGGTGGTCGTCTGCTGCGAACCTTCCAACCTCCTGTTGATGTTGACATTGCATTCTCTCGAACCGTTAGGCGGCGGCCAAGACTTTGGCAAATTGCCCACCCGTCATGACAGTAAACTATAAAACAACCGCCGTGCCGATACTGGATATTTAAAGACCTCTATCGGGGCCTCACTTGACTGGGTTACGTTAAATACTGGTCTAGAGACTAAGCCTTGGGATGCCAATAACGCTAGCTCTGCAGTCAAGAATTGCACCTACACTTCCAAGTCTTGGATGTAGAGATACATATCTAGCGCTCCAGCGCTGTACCGAATCCAGCTACAGGTGGTGATCAGGAGGAGTCTTGGAACGCAGGGCTGAAGAATACCCAGTCGCATTTGCATATTCCAAGCCACAAAAACAAAAACGGCAACTAGAGAGGGTATCATGGCCAAATTCGTGGCGTTTAAAACCACTTCCTATTCGTCCAAGGGGCTGATACACGCAGATGGACTCTCACTTGTTGTCATACATACGCTACCAATCCAGACTATACATAGGAAGATTCCCCGCTGTTAGATAGTCTGCCTCTGTCCGTCCGTGTCTCTTCAATACGGTCGCGATGTCAGGTAGGAAATATCTCGTCTGGATTTTCTTCGCCAACTAACTAACCATGACAGTCTACCTACGTCGAGGGAAAGGCCAGTACGAACCTGTTACTCCCGGTATGCAACAACTCCTCTGTCCTGAGTAGCAATGCTAATAGAAAAGGCTCCACAACCGAAAAAAAGCGGAAAGAATATGTCCCCTCTACGCTTCACACTCTCACTCTCCTCGGTTACGTTGCGATCTGTATCGGTATCATCGTGGGGCTAGAGTTCATAATCCGAAGTTCACCGGAAAAGTTGGTCGAAGCCAAAAATGGTGGCGGCGGTTTGGCGGTCAGGCGTGATGTGGAGGTGGATTCCACTTTTCTAAGGCCACGCGCACGTCCGGACGACTTTGGCGTCCAGTACTATCAGCCCAAAGACCATTACGCCCAGAGTGTAGACTTGCAGCCTGAGTCCACAGCACCCTCCAAGGAGGATCCTACTGGATCTGTTACAGCGGTAAATGTTGCTCCCTCTGATTACGCCACGGAAACAGACCCGCGGCATGAACAGAAGAAAGCTGACCTTCCCCTCCGAAGTCTGAACCTCCTCCTACACCAGTGGCAAAGGTAGACCCTATCTCTACAAAGCCGGACCACAGAGAAGAGACTTTCTCTACACCCAAACCGGAAGTTTACGCCACGCAGGTAGACGCGCAGCCGGAGCCGTCCAAAGTACCCCCCAAGAAAGACCCTCCCAAGCAAGACCCTCCCAAGAAGGACACACCCAAGGAAGACCCTCCTAAGCAGGACCCTTCGAAGGAAGACCCTCCCAAGAAGGACACTCCCACGTACACAGTTGCTCCCGAAATTTACGCCACGCAAGTAGACGCGCAACCTGAGCCCGTACCTACGGAATCGGTATACGCCTACCCGGATCACAATGTTTATGCCACAGAGGTAGACCTTCAACCTGAGACGCCTCAGCCCCCCACTATTTACTCCACCCCTGCTTCCGAAGTTTACGCCACAGAAGTAGACGCGCAGCCTGAGCCGACTAAATCTCCTTCCTATGCGCAGGATGTGTATTTCTCAGTTTACGCCTCAGAGGTAGACGCGCAGCCTGAGCCGACTAAATCACCTTCCACGGAGGACTCTCCCCCTACAACTCCGGACATTCAGGAAGAGTCCAAACATTCCTATTCCGCTGAGTATTATGTGCCTGTATCAGATTACGCCACAGTGGTAAACGCGCAGCCTGAGACGACTAAATCTCCTCCCAATAAGGACTCTACTGAATCATACACTGATAAACTTCCACCTGGTGTCCATCCTTATGTGATACCTAATGTCTACGCCCCTAATGGAGCAGACTCGCGGCCTAGTAGGACTAGAACTGGCAAAAAGGAAACCCCCCACACAAACCCAGACGAGGCCAGTCCGCAAAAACAGCCTATTACTTACGACCAACAGACTGTCACTAGGTTGAAGCAGAGGCCTGGAAATTCTAAGACCCGTTCTTACGATGGTCCCCTGGAAACTGGTGTACGCGACGGTAGATTTGGCGATGATGACCAAGACGACGACAGGCGATATGGTAACGATCAGGATGGCTATGGGCGGGATGGCAACGATCAGGACGGCAACGGACGGAATGTCTACGGACAGGACAACAACGGTCAAGACGGCAATGGTCGGAACGACGACGAGGACAGTAGGACTTACAGATCACGTCCGGTGACGGTTTTCACAACCGATAATAGCGGTGCATCTCATACCCTTGTCATTGCGCCACGGCCAGCAACAGTTTATATTACCGACGAGCGTGGTACACCTCAGACACTTCTCATTGAGACGCCAACCTATGTCGACGGAAGGCTGCTAATACCACTCACCGCCACATCCAAGCATCACCCCACAAACGTCGCCGCCGCTGCCGATCATGCCTCCGATAAGAATAAAATTAGAAATAGCTACCGTCTCTACTTCAGCGGACAATACCTCCCCACCCTCATTGGCGTTCTTCTCTCCATGCTCTGGCGCGTTATTGACACAGATATAAAACGCATCGAACCTTTCTACCTCCTCTCACACGCCTCCGGTGCTTCCGCCTCAACTCTTACCGAGAGCCTTCTGTTTGCGAACTCCTATTTCATCCCCTTCCAAGCTGCATGGAGACGCCAATGGATTGTCTGTCTGAGCGCCATCATATACTTCCCATTTCTTGCGGGGGTACAATTTCTAGCGCCCGCGACAGTTTTTTTAACCACCGAAAAGAAATGCGATATTTTCGCAAAGAAACGGACTTGCGGCAATCCCTATCTCGCAGCCAAACGTGAGATGGCGCGGATCCTGCAGGGTGTGTTGGTATGTGTTGTTGTGGCTGTAATGGCAATCATATTTCTGCAGAGAAGGAGACAGAGTTTGTTGCATTCCGAACCGTGGAGTCTCGCTGGATTGGCTTCGCTAGTTGCGGACTGGGGTGGGATTCGAGATGGGTTTTCTAGTATCGATGTGGGTGATTCGGAAGAAGATTTGAAGAGGAAGGTGGCCGGGAGGCACTATAAGTATAGACTTGTTAATGGGGTCCATCATGGGAAATCACACCTTGGGATTGAGGTTGTAAAAAACGCATTTGAATCAGATGCCCCGAATGCCCCGAGCGTCCCAGATATCGATACCCCAGATGCTCCAGAAGATGCTGCCTCGGATATATCGGAGACGTACCATTCCCCCGAAAAAACCTCGCAACGACCACTCATGCTTCGAAGCTACACCCTCGTCGTCTTCATCCTCTTTCTCATCGGAGTACTCACCCTGCTCCTCGTGTACAGGCTCACCGACGCCAGCAACAGCAAAATGGAGGCCTTCATAAGCGGCGAAAGCGTTTGGGTGAAGGTTTTCTTCATAGCCTTGGGGATCACAATCCGCTTCGGATGGGAACCCATAGAACGCGGTACGTACCCCCCCTCACACTCCCCATCACATCCCACTAACACCCCAGCAGAGGTCCGCCACACCGAAGTCTTCCACCTCCTCTCCCACCGCCACCAACCAGTTTCTACCCTCCTCCGCGACCACCCCCGCTCCTTCCCCGTAGTAACCGAACTCGTCTCCCTCTACCACAACTGCTTCTTCGTCTCCCTAATCGGCCTAATCAGCCTCCTCATCGAAGCTCTAATCGTAATTCTCACCGGAATCCCCTATTCCTCCACCCAAATCCTTGCAGACGCAAACATGTGCATGTTCCTATCTATAACAATTCTTGTTATGACAATCGCCACGGTTATTGCAGTTCTACTTCGCCGACATAGGATTGGAAAACGTATGCCTAGGACGCCGTATACGCTTGCTGCCACGATGGCGTATTTGTATGCGGCGAGGTTTTTGGAGGGTTTGGTGGGGTTGTCGACATTAGGGACGAAGGAGAGGAATAAGCAGGTTTTGGTGGCGGGGAGGGATAAGGAGTTTGGGTTTGGGTGGACGGTTGGGGCGGATGGGGAGAAGAGGGTGGGCGTGGATGAGGAGGAGTTGGAGGGGGATTATAAAGTTAGGCAGTTGGCGCCGTGGAAACGGTAGGTTAGTTGGATTCTGTAATTGATGGAGTGAATGGGATATTGATGGAAAACCGGACCCGCAACGCATAGAAATTTGTACGATTAAGGATAAAGATTTTTTCTGGTTCTTTTTGGCGAATACATATGGTTGGGATGGGGATCATGTATGTATGTGTAATGAAACTGAGATTTTTCATCTAAGAGCAGTATTCCAATAAGCCCGGACAGTCAACTTATCTCCCTAGGCCTTTTTAATGTATACGTTGATGTTTAGAAGAACTTTTTGAATCAATACATAAGTACACGTGCAATGTCTACGTTGCTACCTCGACTGCCCATGTTCCCCAAAATTAGGTGTGACTTCTAGGGATCTCTTTCAAATTCTTTCACAACCTTGTACAAGCCCTCGACGTCCCGGGGTATGTACCAATTTTTCCTTCCACAAAGTCCCCGTGAAACCACACCTCATCTCCACTCCTCCTTACTAATTCCAACACATTTCCCTTTGTTTCTTCTTTTTATCAGAACCACATGTTGGCTAGGAATCGCTAAACGGCATGAAACAAGGGGCTGTAGCGCAGTGGTAGCGCGTTCGCTTTGCATGCGAAAGGTCTTGGGTTCGATCCCCAACTGCTCCAGTAGCATGTAGTTCTTTTGTTTTCATGTTGGTTTTGGTGGGTTTGGAGAAACACAGTGGGGTGGGTGGGTGGGTGGGTGGGTGCGAGTGGGGAGTGGCGGGTGGTGATGGGAGGGAATAGAAGAAGGAAATTGGATGGGGTTATTGGGTGGGGCTATTAGGTGATGAGTACTGAAGTGAGAGTGTTCGAGAAAAAACTGGTGGAAAGAGAGAGAAAGAGAGGAAAGGGAGGGGGTGGAGCTGGCTAAGAAAAGTTGCACCGATGAATTGCCTTCTTTTTGAACCATAATATTGTGTCTGATGCTCATTTACATTCCGTCCCTATCTCATGACGCTAGTGGGCATGTAACCACGGATTATTACTGAGCAGCGGGTACGAATATCAGGGGAATATTGTTCGTGGGCCGGATTGATATCGATGCTGATACTCGTCTTGACGAGTACATACGTCTGGCTGTGTGCAGCGAGGGCGAACTGGAAAGTTGGGGAGTAACGGAGCACCCAACACGCTGAATTGAAGAAACGTGGTGGAACTGCGGAACTTCCAGTTGCTGGCGGAGATTCAGCTGACTGCGATATAGTTTCCATATACCGTACCGGGCAATGAGATTTCCACTTCAGGTGTTCCGACCTGGTGCTTGAATATCTCATGATCAACATAACCTCATGGCGGAGAGAAGAACAGGAGCAGCTAATGACTTAGAAGTGCTAGCCGGATATGAACCCACTGAGGCTAATGCGTTGCAGCCTTGTTAATTGTGATGGTTGTGATGCATATCCCCAACACAAACTACGCAGCAGATATCATGCTGGGCAGTTGTGGTTCTGTTTTCAGCACGTATGGTGCTATTTAAATAGCGTGGCTCTGGCTTACATTTTGCATAGATTCTTTGCGTTTTATCTTTCATTGAAGGCTCTTTGGAGGCGATAGAAAGTGGTTTTTGGTTGTTGGTTGCTTTGATGGAGAGTGAGATAGAGTGAGTGGGTGGGTGAGTTGAGTTGAGAGATAATCGAGATTAGATGGTTGGGCCGGTTTGGGCTGGCCGACGGCGCCTTGGCATCAATAGTTGTATGTATTATAAAACTAGAGATATTCTTCTATTTATTTGAGCATTGAAGATATTATAAAAGTTTACAGCCCCAAAATCCTATAGCTTTTTCATTTCCCATCTATCAGCCCTCGATATTTGGTGACGCAATCGATTGCGGCTCAAGGGTCCATTCATTACCCTACTTTATGATCTTCACTTGCTTAACCTCACCTCATCCCCACTCTTGACAACCTTCATCTCGACGCCATGCTCTTCTTCAGGTTCGATACCCTCACTTTCTATCATTCGCACTATCATGAGAAGTACGCCAACCTTCTAATCTAACATCTTGGTCTAGTTTCTTCAAGACCCTCGTCGACCACGAAGTATGTACCGCGTCCTACATCTCCCCCCCAACGCTCCACGCTCGATGATGAGAACAACGCACAGTCATCCTTAGACGTAGCTCAAAGGTTTAGCTTTCTCAAGCTGTTCGCTTAAGCTGGGACGATAAGATGCAACCATTCTCTGAGAGCATAGCTGTGATCTGCCATACCATCCTATCCTCCGGCACCATCCCCGCCTGCCGCCAGTTCATTTGTGCGCATCGTTGGCCAGAAGAAGACGGTGTTGAGGGTGGATACACGTTAACGGTAGAAGAGACGCTGACAGGAAGCAGGTGACGATAGAACTCAAGAACGACCTCTGCATTACCGGGACTTTGAAGAGCGTGGACCAGTTCCTGAACATCAAGCTAGATGAGATTAGGGTTAAAGATGAGAACAAATATCCCCACCTGGTACGTCCGGAACATCCATCACACTCCCGAAACGAAGGGTTGCGGTTGACATTGACAGGCGGCGGTGAAAAACGTGTTTATCCGCGGTTCGGTCGTTCGATACGTGTACCTTCCAGCGAACGCAGTCGATACAGCGCTACTTGAGGATGCGACACGAAGGGAGGCTGCGAATGCGGGAAACGCTAAAAGATAGACTTTGTTTTTCGGGAAGTGAAGTAATGAAATGATATCACGATCATGGTGTTGAGGGGAAAATCGGGCGTTACCTTTTTCTGTTTCTGCCGACCTGGAATCTTGGTGTGATTGGGTATTTTTTTGCTGGTGTGGACTACTCAACAATGGCCAAGGTGTATCCTTGTGTCAAGTTTCGATTTTCGTGAGATGGAGTACTATTAATATCACAACCAATTGATTGCAACTTTTGTGGGCAGTGTCGGTATCTCTAGAATTCTATCCTATTCGGTCGCCATCATAGTCTCGTGTGTATTGCATCGCTCATGGTTGCAGGAAGTGGGTTTGCATGCATGGAGTCGCAAGCAGAAATTAGCAGAGAGCGTTAGGTGCTTGAGGCTTTAACCGCGCCAAAGCTCTTCTTCAACCTCCATTCAGATGTTGTGATGATGGACAAAAACAGTAAGGCACTTGGATAAGAAACATCCTACGGGCTACATGTAAGCAAACGTCAGGATTTGGTTAGTTTGTGGTATTGCGTTTTCGGCGTGCGATCTTAAACCCCCGCCCGTTCTTTTTCTACGTGGCATCGGCTGAGTTTACTCCTCTAATGAATGACACCAATAGAGTGTGTGCCAACGTTAATTGTAAAACATGTGAAGACGCTTGATTAAGACGCAACAAATCCTTCTAAGTAGTAAGCATACACTGGAAGACCAAAGCTATTCACCAACAGATTCTGTGACGGTCCGCCGGTCCCCCAACAGTCCATCACTGATCCCGCGGCTTCCGCCAGAAGGCTTCCTCCCGCCAAAGGCAGTCACCAGTGGGTTCTGTAACGGTCCGTCGGTTCCCCAGCGGTCCATCACTGATCCCACAGGTTCCGCCCAAAGGTTAAGGCCGAATCCAATGTACCCAATCCTTAGTCCCAACTCCAAACGACGTAAAATCCCAAATAGACAAAAGTAAATACCGACTTTCCTACCGCTCACCCGGTATCACCCCTACTCTCTCACCAACCGTCTCTACCCACCACGACCAAACTATAACACCCTATTTGCAAGTTAGCAGCTAATTTTGCCTGTATTAGGAAATAAGACTGACTATCCCATATTCGCTGGCTGGAGGATTTGGAGTTCCCGGCCGTAGTTATTATCGGACTCGGATCCGGGGAGGTTGTCGTGCTCCAAATCAGCCGTCGGTACACTGGAGATATACCGCGGGAATTGGCCCTCATCTGGCCTATCGATCTGGTCCCGGATTGTCTGGTCGTAGAGATGCTCCCAACGAGTATCTTCCAGATCATATGGCTGCCGCAACCTGTTCCGCTCCTCATAGAAACGTGGTCCAGGGGTGAATTGCAGGGTGTTAAGCGGTAACTGTTCTCATCCCTGGGTGTTTTGCCCAAACCGCAGTCGCCTCCTGTTTGAAAGTTGAAAACGAGCGATATTCATGGCGGGGCCGTGATGGTATGGACTATTGAGGTAATATGGCTCTGGGGGTAGTTCGGGGGATTCGAACAGTTCGACGGAAATGAACGCGAAGAACATTGCCAGCTCCATAAATAAGGGTACTCTCCAAGCTGTCATCCGTATCGTCGGCAGATTGAAGATGATAAGGAAGAGGACCAGACAGAAGGCTACCGTCGCCAGAAAATATCTGTACTAACTAAGCAGGGAGCTTTGGAATCGCGATGTGATATTTGACGTACCGCAGCGCCTTTTTGTAGCCCTCTTTAATTATTAGTACACCCAGGAGGGCGAAGGTACAAAGCCAAAATAAACAGAAGGCACTTTTGTAGTCAATAACACTGAACGCTCTGCTAATGCTGATGGAATGCGAACCTGTATATCAGCCAATATGGTACTCTGCCCGAACTCGCTCCCGCTTCGAGTACAATGCAGGCCATTGCTCCTGTTTCTTGCAAACCCGTCACTCCAAGCTTCGTCCACGGTGGCTGCTGCCGGTTGAACATTGTGGACAAGTGTGATCTCGATGCTTCCGCCATAGCGCTCTTCGCCGGCGCCGTTGAAGTGATATGTCAGAACTCGAGCGCTCTGGATCGACGGCGATGAAAAAGAGTTCGTTAAGGTAATGAATCCAGTTCGCCGGTACCCCAAATATGACAGCTACTTAATCCTATGCCTCCTGTCGATTGTTGTTTATTCCTCGCTGCTGTGGGTGCTGTACGTTTCCGTTCGTGATGGTTCGGTGATGGTGAATAACGACTGTGGAGATGTCAAGAGAACGGACGACAACACCTCCATAATAACGTCTCGCAAAGCTATATCTTTTGGTATGTCGGTTTGCTCGTCACTTTGGCTTTAGTGATTAACCGAAGCACAGTTCTCGTTTTGCGTTATCCGAATATCCAACTCCCACAATACCTGTTTCCGGCAGTCGATCTAAACCTCCAAAATTCGGTCCTATCTTTCTCTCGTTAAAGTTCACCGTACCTCGAGCTCACATGTCGAATCACATACTGTACTGGAGGATACAAGCCAAAATGCATGAGATGGGTATGGAGCTGAGAAGGAACTTTTGGAATGCTGCAGGCGAAGAATGGCCGGAGGTTCGACCAACTTTGAAGACCAGTAGATTTTTTGATCCATGGGACAACTCCAACTCCATATCTTCAATGGGTAATCGAAACTCCCCTGCGGTTGGTGGCAGCGAATATTCATATGGCACAAAAGAAGGTGCTGTTTCCCATGCCGACAACAAGGAGGCCAGGCTAGCCTTTAATGAAGAACATTCTACCAGGCGGCTTCCAAACACTCAAAACACCATGGAAGAACTTTTGGATCATACCGACGCCGAACCACAAAATGCCCTTGTAGCCGTGTCTGCAGGCCCAACCGATTTTGGAGTCCGTGGTTTTGCAGCTGTCTATATAGCTCCTGAGTCTGAACTACAAGTCGAGCCAACAATGGATGTGTGGTGCACTCTAATGGCTCACATGATCTGGGTGGGCAGGCGGGCGGATATCAAAGCCCTGGA